ATCTACCTGACAGCGACCACAGGCCGGCCCCAGCCCAAGGGGCAGAGCAGCAGGGAGCCACAGCTGAGGAGGGCTCTCACATCAAGAGCTCCGCACCATAGGCCCGGAGACGCCCCAGCACGCCACCCATGCACCCCCCACCCCCCCACCTCCCGCGAGTCCGCGAATGTTGAACCTCGAAGCAGCGAGGGGCTACTGTATTTAGTTTATTATATGCGGCATGGCAGCACAGTAGTTAGAGCTGTCAGCAAGCTTAGCAAGAAGGTTGCAGGTTTGCTTCCTGGTCTGTCTTTATGGGTGTATTTTGTACGTTCTTCCCTTGTACTTCCAGGTTTTCTCCGAGTACTTCGGTTTCCTCCAACAAACAAAAATCATGCATGTTAGGTTAATTGATAACTTGCTTAATAGGTAAATTGCCCCCAGGTGTGGGTGAGAGTGTGTCTCTGTGATGGACTTAAGACCTGTCCCACCTCTCATCCAGTGACTGCTGGGCATGGACACCAGCTCCTCCTGACTCGGACTGAAGAAGCTGGTATAGAAAATGGATGGATATAAGCTGCACAACTACAGAGAAGAGTATGTTTAAATTATACATGATTCCTGGATTGACCTTCGATTTCATACTGAATTTATTTCCTTTCTTTTGAAACAGAGCTTATCATCATTTATTCATTCGAAAAATAGAAGCTTTTATGGGAAATTTGTCTTCTTCTTCATTTAACTTAATTTTCATGTTTATTTACAGTTATTGTATATTTTCCAGAGCTAAAGATTTAAATCAATAGCTAGCAATTATATTTTTTAAGACATATACAGTAGTCCTTTTCGACTTTGCGGTTCTTTTATCGCAGACTCGCTCTATGGCGGTTTTTAAAATACGATTGGACATGACACACAATTGGCTGATTGATGGATGCACGATCGGCATGGAATTTTTATTTAAATTAAATCTCTTTTGTTATTATTATTTAGCACCTGCTGCACCTTTGTGCAGTCCACACTGCAGGATAAGCTTCCTGCCGCAGCTGAACAGCTGATCAGATGTTCAGCATGCAGAACGGAGAAGTGGGCGTGGACAAGAGAAGGTGGCAAAGAGCAGAGGAGGCAGAGAGCTGAAATCATGACATTATGTGCTCTTTTGGAGCGTTTAGAGTTTAGAAACATTGTTTAAACTATTGCAAGAGTGTGGGAAGGGTTTAAAATACCTTTATATATATATATACACATATAGTAAAATAAATTACTACTTACAACTTGTATTTCTATTCCTACTTTGCGGGTTTTCAGGGTACAGATCCCTAGCGATAAACGAGGGGCTACTGTACTTCTATTTCTGTTCTACTGACAAAGAAAATGTAAATTGTTCTGGACCGGTATGTTAATGTTTCACCACCAGTCCCACCAAGATGCTGTAAGGAGTCCGATCCCAGCGAGACATAATGGATGACGGGCATTATCAGCTGAAGATGAGCTGCAAACATGAGTGATGGCAACAGCTTAATGCATTTTTCACCGTTTACGACAATGTCAGTGTGCAAAGTGCTGTTTTAGGTAGAAGAAGCTTCTTAATACTAAAATACTGATTCATTAATTCAAATGACAGCTGAGGGATTACAGTTTTCAGCTAGCTTTTCTTCTATCACACAAAAGAAAACAAGCAAATCCCAGCTCCAACTATCAAGACAGTTTGAAAAAGCTTTATCATCAGACTTTGGGAGGAAACTGGCCAAACTTCAATAGGGTTAAGCTTTAAATATTTTTATTCAAGGTCTCTTCTGTAGTAGAACCATTCACAAGTGAAAATACTGCATGTTTGCTCAACATTCAGGTCTCATCAATATTGATGCTGTTGACAGCTCAAGTAAAAACTACAGAGAAAGAAAAGGGGATCCTGTTTGTGCACATTCAGTTTCTGTTTTCTTTACTAAATGTTAGTATATCGGTTCACGATGCTTTGATTAATTATTCTAGTAGAGCAGAGGCGTCTGAGTCTCCCTTTGAGCGTTTCCGTGCAGAATCTTTACCTCTGCATTTGTCTGCACTGAGTTGTGTGAAAATAAAATGTTTCTGGCAAACGTTTACCAGACAAGATGTAGGCGTAGCTATAAATGTAGATTAAAAAGTGCACACAAAATGCTTTATAGGATGTGTATGCAATAATAAAAATCCAACTTTATTGATAGTTTTGAAACACAATTTTAAAAGATTCACTAAAATCAGTTCAAAATTTAAAACAAGTTTATTTACAACAATTCTTTAATCCGTATTTACTCACTTAAAGCTTGAAATTGTGCAGCATGAACATCTATCTTTTAGCTTCTAATAGCCTTTAATTTAATAATTTCATTATGTTTCAGGGGCAGCACGATGGCGCAACTGGTAGAGCTGCTGCCTCTCTCTGCAGGTCCTCGGTTCAAATCCTGGTCTGGGGGTCTTTCTGGGTGGAGTTTGCATGTTCTCTTTGTGCATGCGTGGGTTTTCTCCAGGTACTCCGGTTTCCTCCCACAGACCCAAAACATGCATGTTAGACTGATTAGTAACTCTAAATTGTCCCTAGGTGTGAGTGAGAGAGTGAATGGTTGTTTGTCTGTATGTGACCCTGTGATGGACTTGCGACCTGTCCAGGGTGTACCCCGCCTCTCGCACAGTGATTGTCGGACATGGGCACCGGCGACCCCCGTGACCCAAAATAGAAGAAGCGGGTAAAAGATAATGGATGGATGGATGTTCAGGACAAATATTACCGTATTTTTCGCCATACCTGTCGCACCGCCCTATAAGTTGCATCAACCCAAATGTGTCTAATAAAGTGGACAAATCCATAAATATATCGCTTCGCCGTATACGTCGCATCTATCATGCGTCACTGCTGACGCGTCACGTTTGCTACGCGTCACTGCTGACAACTCGAAAATGTGGGCTGAACCTGGAAATGTGGGCTGATATTGTGGCAAAAATCAATGGGCTGCCAAATGGCTGCCACGGGAGGGTGCACAGGAGGACTTTAACAAGAATTTAACAAGATTAACACTTGAAAACCATTATTTGTTTGCTCTAAATTATAGTAAAGGTGTGTCTCAGTCTACCTTTTGCTTAATGAATGCACTTTGACGGTCAAATCATCTGCATTTCTTCGAAATTTAACAAGATAAACACCTAAAAACAATTATCTGTTTGCTCAAAATTATATCAAAGGTGTGTCTCAGTTGAACTTTTACTTAATAAATGCACTTTAGTGGTCAAATTAGCTGCTGTTCGCTGGGACGGTGCAGCTGGTTTGACTTGATCCAAGCAGCGAGCAGAACGAAGGTGGAGGGTTATGGCAAGTTGATTGTGTCATTAATAGCTGATGAAGATTCTGAGTCATCCAGGACATGGTAAATTAAAAAAAGTTCAAGACAAAAAATAAAGTATTAAGTATAATAAATAAAGTCCAGTTGTTTTTGTATTGAACTTTTTTGAATTTGTCATTATAGCCACGTTTAACTATTACATGATACAACGGCTTGCCTTACTGCTACTACTCTGCTGCCATCTAGTGGCTGAAAATTGTACTGTTGAATTGTTTTCAATCAGAATGAATGAAAACGGTCATATCTCAGCCAAAAATTGGTTTATAAATATGGGAAAAATCCATAAATATGTTGCTTCGGCCTATAAGTCGCAGGTCATGTAATTATGCAAAAAAAACAAGACTTATAGGCCGAAAAATACAGTATAAAAATATTACAAATATTATTGCCTGCCTTTTGTTTTTCAATGCCAGACAATTAGTCTGGAATTATTTTTATTGCATATTATTATAATAATTAAAATGCTCTGATCTGCCACCATTTTTCCTCACAACTGTAAGGGAAACATTAAGATTAGTAATTGGACATTGCATGCTCTATGATCAAGTGAAACGAGTTTTGATCAATAGATTTAACAAAACGTCACCCATGACAGCCTCTATATTAGTGATTTTAAATATTTGCATATTTGCAATTAAAGTTAATTAATATGGGTTTAAAATATACAATGTGGTTTTTTTTTTTTTTTACATTAAACTTGCCCTGCATGTGTGTCAGCTTCTCCTTTTTCTTTGGAAACAAAGCGCTAAACAAAGTTGCCAGAAGGGACTTTTTCTTCTTCTTGACATAAATCATCTGCACAGAGAGCTGCGATGAAAGGCTTCTGGCAATACTAGATTACCCCTTCAAATAAATCAGTCGTAACACCACCAGCACGATTGAACTCCCAAATTTCTCCTACTTTCAGTTCCACAAAGATGCCCCCTAATCTGCAACAATAGCCCTCTTTGTCTGATGTTCAGGGCTGGACTTTGAGGCGAGGTTTCACATTATAAATCTCCACGAAAAAGAAAATATTATTCCTTGAAGCAAAATGAACTGAAAACAGAAGTATTGGCCTTTTGACAATCAAAGTGAAGTAGCTCCGACAGTTACCAACCATACATCAAAGTAACCACAGAGCTGCATGTTTTCCTATTAGTCAGATCGCCGTCTGAGGAAGTAAAACCCCTTCCCAGCTCTTCGTTCAGCACATTAACTTTAATAGTGTTTTAGATAAAAGACACATCTGTAATGTATTATTAGACTCATAGGGAAAGAGATAACGCAAGCATTCTTCCTAATTCTGCACAGAAAACAATAAAAGTCTACAGACTCCTGCTCCTTGGTTTTACAAAAGTCCATAAATGTTCCCGTTATAAATGGTTAACCTGACTTTGAAGTCTAGTTCCAGCCTTTGAAGGAAACAGGAAGTTGGTTGGCTTCTTCTAACTTGCTTAGCAGACATTAAACTAATACGTGTGCTGATTGAACTTAAGAAAGTTTACAGAAGAGCGGAGAACATACTGAGTAATGTAATTGGCTGCATTGTCTTAAAATCTAATTAATAACGATCATTTGCTTTGGAGCAGAATTTGAAATATATCGACTTTCTGTTCATCTTTTCATTCATCCCATTATGTAAACTCGTCTTTTGTTGTTCTTTAGGAGGACACGGACCACAACTACTACACATCAAGAACATACGGCCCCTCAGACCCTATGAGCAAAGACTTGTGGGTAAATATCGAGCAGATGGAGAAGGACAAAGTGAAGATCCATGGGATTCTGTCCAACACACACAGACAGGCTGCGGTAAGTCAAACACCACAACGACATTCAGGAAATCATCACAATTTAGACAAACCCATCAACTGAAAACATTTTCCAATCATGTATCTTGTAACAGCATTTTCTACTTTCTGATGCTTCAGATTGAAGCTTCATTTAATTGTACGTGCACACATGACCTTTGCAAAGTGAGCCACAATGAGAAATTTTTAAACATGGAGTAATTTGCCTGGTGAAATAAAGGTTAATAAATAAATAAACTACTCTCTTTATCTGTTTAAAATAAGTTTTAAAGTTTTCTGTCATAATATATATTTATACAGTAGTCCCTCGATTATTGCGGGCGTTCAGTTCCTATCCGCCCACAATAAGTGAAATTTCATGAAGTAGCGACATTATATTTATTTTAGTATATATATATATATATATATATATATATATATAAAGGCTTTATAAACCCTTCCCACACTCTTGCATCGTTTTAAACTCTTAAACCTACGTCATTTTAACAACATGCGTACAGTATACTGTATGTACTGTACAGTACTGCAAAATTTTATATGGTGATTCACCAGCCTTGGTCCGGTTCTGGTCCAGTTTTGATCAGCTCTCTGCAGCCGTTGAGCACCAAGACGCTTTTAGAGAGAGCCGGACCTTCAGACAGCCAGAACAAAATCACACAATGGTCCCGATCGAGTCCAAATAATCCAGAGAAATCCGATGGAAAAAAATCCGGGTGAGCTCGGGAGAAAAACGCTCCCCGCTCGAGAAGCTTCCTGGGCTGGCCAACAGCACTCAGATTGACTGATGAGGCTGAAAGTAGTTCTGGTCTGGTTCTGGTCGGGTTCTGTACGGCTCTCTGCAGTCACTGAGCGCCAAAGTCACTATGAATAAAGACTGAACGTTTTAGTCAGGTTCAGATCGGATCAAAACTTTCCTTCCATATCGGCAAAAAGCATTGTTGAGTTCTGGGAAGTGCACTGTTGCCTTGTGGGTAATGTAATTCTTTTGGATTGGCGATTGAAGGAAAACTACAAAATGGCGGCGCCTATCCTAAAAAAAAATTTTGTCATTAGCTTTTCCCAACCACGAGTACAGTGATATTACTGTACAGTCCACATTTGTGTGTCTTGTATATTTTTGGTCCAATATTATGGACAAACCGCGATAGATCGAGTCCGCAGAAGTCGAACGGCGAAGTAGCAAGGGACTTCTGTAATGTTGTTTATTTTGGTCAAATTTTAAGTCTGTGTCCATTTTTTTCTACAGCACATTTAAATAACAGAAGTTGAGCAAGGTGGTTAATAAAAATACAAAAACTTAATAACTGAAGAGCCTTCCTGTCTCTGTAAGCTATCTGATTAAAAGGTTAGAGATCGATGTATTCTTCGTGCAGATTTAAAATCTCTGCAGCAACGTTTAAAGCTCCCCTCCCTCCATGTCAGAGCCGGCAGGTGACCCATGTGAGCTGCATACAGATGAAGTCACACAAGGCAGCAGCAGCAGAGCAGAGAAACAAAGCATCAAGGCAAAAAACCAGTATCCTGAGTGAACAATAGCTGGTGAGGAGAAAGAAAGAGTCCCACATTGTTCATTCTGCTCCTCCACCTCTCATGATGGATTGAACAATGCAAGCTTCAGAAAGTCTTGGCTTAAAGGCCGCGTAGAAACAATTTGGGACGTTTCTCTGACTTTGGCTCAGTTTGACAAATCAGTAAGTGAATTTCCCAATTTAATGGTCAGCCAAATGATTGTGGAGTCCAAAAGGACACGGGGGAAGTCTCAGCTGAATAACTGAGGAGAAAACCATCTGTGCTGAAATGATCCGTGGCTCGGTGTCAGAGGACTAATATTTTAAAGAAATAGTTTACTGTGGTGATCGTTAAAGTCGCGAGAAAAACCTTAAAGCTCAAGAGAGCTCGCTCGCTTCCAGCTTTACTGCCTGCTCTGACTTTGGCCGCGATAAAAGATAGAAAAAGAAATGGCTGATGAGGTCAAAAGCCAGCCACAGAGGTCAGCTCCATCACAGAGAGCCAGAGAAGTTAGGCACTAGATTAGCTGCACCGTCTGAGCGCTTCTGGGTGGTTTACCCCAGGATTACTGGTGCATGACCACATAGATGCAATTTTTACTGTGAACTGTCTATCTCTATACCCTTGCCTGGCTGAGACTGTGGTGTAGTGTACAGAAAATATGATAGATGCATAAACTTTGAACGTAACATGCAAGAAAATGTCTTTAAATATGCATTTGTGACTGCCCAGTTCTGCCAGAGAAAACAGAAAACAAAATATAAATAAAATGCAGGAATGTGGTCACACATTTAATTTATTTAAAGCCATATTTAGGATCTTTTAGTGTGGAGGATAGTACTCCCTCGCTACTTGGTGGTTCGTTTATCGTGGACTCGCGCTATCACAGTTTTTCAAAGTAAGATTGGACATGACACACAGTTGGCTCGGCATGCATTTTTATTTGAAATGAATTATTATAAATCATTTTGCACCTCCTGCACCTCTGTGCAGGCCATACTGCAGGATAAGCTTCCTCCTGCAGCTGATCTGCTGCTCTCTGTGCAGAGCGGAGAAGTGGGCGTGGCCAAGACCGCTTGCAGCTGGCTGAGTGCAGCCGGAGGCAGAGCTGAAATCATGACATGCTGTGCTCTTTTAGAGTGTTTAGAGTTTAGAAACATTGTTCAGAATATTGAAAGATTGTGGGAAGGGTTTCAAACACCTTTATTTATATAATGGGGGCTGAGATGGTGTAGCGGCAGGGCAGCCAGCCTGGGACCCTAAAGTCCCAGGTTCGATCCCCAGTTACTGCACACCTTGTGGTGTCTCTGGGCAGCACATCTCATCCCCAAAATGCCCCCTGGGCGCTTTCAATATACATATATA